CAATGGAGGTATTTATGGGTAGCAATGTCAAGTATTTCTGGTTTATCGTATTATCCTATCAGTTATTGGGTAAGCAGAAACTATAAATTCACACATAACCACAACTACGTAAAATTAATAATGCAGTAGAATCTCTCATATCTGGAATCCTGTACATGATTTTGGTGTGTATATTTGAACTATTTGGGTGATATGTAACTGATCTGAAATTTCTGTTTTTCAGGAAATTTACTTTGGATAATTGCTTATGCTTATTTCACCCTAATGGCTTGTATTGGTGCAAAAGATGATGGGAATAAGAGGAAAAGAACAACTTTGGAGTTATCGCAAAAACTGGACATTTTAAACAGACTAGACGCTGGTGAAAGTTAATTGTAACTAATGGCTGAGTTCAACATAGGAAAGTCAACATTGTATGATATAAAATCTTACAAAGAAACTATTCTCCAGTGTTCACACTGTCATAATGAACAAGGAAATAAAAAATATGATTGTGATGAAACCTGGACTGAAATTGAAAAAGCTATTTAAAAGGTTGTCAGTTTTATGGAAAGAAAGCCAGCATTCAGCTATGATGATTGCAATAATGCACACAGAGTTAAAAAGTGACTTTAAAAAATTCAAGAACTAAAGCAAAATGAAATGCGGAACAAGTTTAGAAGAGAAAGAATCATCATGCAACAGTGATTAAAAATCCTCATTACATTATTTGTTTTGCATATATGGCATACTTAATTTAATGAATTTTCATTAACATTACATAATTTATTTCTTTTTCTTTAGAACCAATTCCATTATATTTCACTCACAATTAGCTTATTTTGTTTGCTATAAAACATTGAAAATAAATGTTAAACCTGATTTCAGTTCTTTTATTTTAATCTAAATATAATCCCTCATATCCGGACTTTGTAAACAATTCCTCATATCCGGGAGGCCTTCTTGGTTCAGTTGTCAAGGATTTTACTGTGATAATAAATAATCAACAACAAATAATCAATGAATCAATAAAAATATCCTAAGTAATCAATAATAAATAATGAGTTATAAGTTAACAAACAACACTAGACAACAGCTATAAAATAACTGCATTCTGACCTACAATTATTTTTACTCAATAGCCTCTAGAATAATTTGAAATATAACCATTGCTGCCTACCAAATGACTGTTAGAATAGTAAACAGGAAATACTTCACCTTACTACCCATAATGCACCATTGAACAGAGCTCATAAACACTAAAACATGTATACATATCTGCATTCTGGTTTTTGCTCAGAGCTAAGAAATTTTAAAAATATGGTCAGATAATGCTGAAAACAGGTCTTGTTCAATTACTAGATTTAAGCACTGTCAAACCACATTATTACTTTGATGGGGGACCACTTGTGAACACAAGGTACTATAAGCTACCTTCTACAATCCAAGACATGTTTTGGCTTTAAATAATTCACAAAGCCTTAAAAACAAATCAATCTATTTATCCAAACTTCTCTTAGGATCCTCTCACTATATATGTTGAGTAAATCCAGTGAGAAGAGACATCCTTATCTCACACCCTTTTTAGAGTCAAGTTTCAATTCCAGTCAGGTTTATTATATTCTCTTATGTACAAATACCCATGGGAAAGGAACAAATCCTCCTCTTCTCCTCCCCAGCTATGGGTTAATCAGTAGCATTTTTATCAGTTAAATCATGATCATCTCCCAAAAAATTCTTACACTGTAAAAATATTTTATGGCTTCAAATAACCTGCAAAAAGTTAATAAGCCATAAAAAATAAATCAATCTTAAAACTTTTTTATTTTTCTGTATTTGCTCAATTCATTTTCAGCTCATATTTTCTCAGACTGAGCAATAAAAATACAGATATATATATATATGATATGTTTCATAAATTACTCAAACGTATTTGATGAGGTACACAAAGATCTATTTGAACTGCAAGGAAAATTTGATTTATTTGGGAAAGATATGAGAATAGTCCACAACACTTACTAGTAACAAAACACACCTGCATATGGTTGGAAAATGAATTAAGCTATTAAGTATCCAGATAAAAAATAAATAACAGTAGATACAAAGCTGGATATGAATTTTTAAAAATACGAGCAATATATGATAGAAAGTTAGATATGAATAAATTGAGATAGATATGTAGATAAGTAAGATTTAGTTTGGTTTATTTTGTTTTTATGACATATCAACATCAATGGGTTATTTGATGCTGGCAAGATTTTTAGGATATGTTTGTATGAATAGAATATCTATTCTTAGTTAGAAATCAGTTCATAGATCAGGTTTCATTGATGTATTTTTGTAAAGAGGATTTTTGTCAAGAGTTAGATGTATTGCTGGTAATAGTTTTTTCTTCCAAGTTGTATTTCTGGTATTTTTTTTTTTTTTCAAAAAGGCATTGCTGGTAATAATTTTTCAAAAATGTATTGCAGGTAATATTTACTTTCAAAAATGTATTGCTGGTATTTTTACTATAAATACCTATTTTTACACTTTCATAGTGTTTTGACCCCAGTTTGGGGATTAACTATTTGCCCATACCTGGAACCCTAACAGGTACCACCACCCCAGGTCAGGGTGGACCTGGGAACAACAATAATTAAGTCGTGGTTCCACACTCCTCAAAACCTCCTGATCAAAGGCCTTGCAGTTAGATGTAGTTTATTGTCATACCCAGGATGGTAGATATGTAAGAATAGATTGATTGATAGATAAAGATAGATATAAATAGAGATTGATATGAACAGACTAGGATAGGTAAATAAATTGACATAGATAGAGTCACTGACTGTGATAGATATGAAATTTTTTTACAATGATGACATAGAGGTTTATAGGTATAGTTTATGAGGATAGGTGGGAAAGATAACAGTTAACACTAGACTTGACCAGGTTAAGCTTGTGATAATCAGGGAAGCATCCTATTGGAAGTGAGTTTCACAGAGCAATGGTTTATGAGAAAAAGCTGCTTGAGAGGAACTTACATCTCGCCTTTGGAATACGAAGGTAATGAAGGTGGTTCATCACAATGGGCGTGGCATGTCAGGTTTTAAATCTGAAGGTTAGAACTGGTTGACCTAAGGAATATAGTTCGTCTGAACACTTTTGATGGAAATAGCAACAGAGGAACAAAAAAGCTTGCAAAATTTTGTCTGTGAGAAAGGGGTTGTAGGGTGCAAAATAATTTATCACCCACAAGGATGCGGAGAGACTGGAAAGGGAAAACTGGGTACCTTCTTCTCAGTACACCATTTTTGGTTTGTAAAACAGGAGGGATTAGCATCTTTAACAACAGATTGTATGTTTGGTATTGTTTTGTTTTACAGCATATCAAATGTATTGCTGGTAATAATTTTTTTTAAAAAAAAAGCATCGTTGATAATATTTTTTTCCTCAAAAATGTATAGCAGGTAACATTTTTTTTTCAAAAACATATTGTTGGCAATATTTTTTTTTCAAAAACATATTGTTGGCAATATTTTTTTTCCAAAAACATATTGTTGGCAATATTTTTTTTTCAAAAACTGATTGTTGGCAATATTTTTTTTCAAAAACATATTGTTGGCAATATTTTTTTTTCAAAAACATATTGTTGGCAATATTTTTTTTTCAAAAACATATTGTTGGCAATATTTTTTTTCCAAAAACATATTGTTGGCAATATTTTTTTTTTCAAAAATGTATTGCTGGCAATAGATTTTTTTCTCCAAAAATTTATTACTGATAATAATTTTTTACAAAGTATTTCTGGTATTAAAACCTATTTTTACACTTTCATAGTGTTTTTACCCCATAGCTGAAACACTAATATGTGCTACCAATTAAGAGGTGGTTCCATGCTCCTCAAAACCTCCTGATCAGAGGCCTTGCTGCTGGATGTAGTTTATCATCTTACCCAGGACACTGATGTAGTTTATCATCATACCCAGGACAAACAGATTATATGTATGAGTTCCACAAGATCTGGATTGAATTTGAATCCTAATAGGCTCTCAAGACATGGAGCCTCCTTGAGGGAAAATTGATTCATGACGATTGGTGAGAGTTCTGGATTAGATCAGCAATGACAAAATGCCACTAGTTTGGTTTTCAAGGCATTGTATGTGACTAGCCTGTTTTGCCCTCACTGTTAAAGTCAGGTCAGAGGAGAAATCAGCTGTCAAGAATTTTGGAGGTGCACCCATATAGCATTGTATTATCAGCATAGATATTCATAAATGATTGGAGTATACTTTCAGCTAGATCATTTATGTAAAGTATAGAGATGGTTGGACTGAGAAGAAAACCTTAGGAGATGCCTGGATTGATTCCTCAGGGATCAGAGGACTTGCTGTGAACAACTAGCTTCAGGGATCTACCCATTAAACAGGGCAATAATTGAAAAGACTCTTCCAATGATTTCATAGCTGGGGAACTTGCGCCATAATCCTTTCTGCCATACCTTGTCAAAGGCCTTTGAAGTATCTAATGCAATCATGTTTGAGGTGTATTTGTTGTCTAGCACCTCTGTGAGTAACAACAGTTAGGAGATCAGCAGTGGACTGGACAGACTGTCACTCAAGAGGTTGTTCTTACGAACAGACTAAGACAAGTAGATGTGAACAGATTGAAACAGATAGATAAAAAGGAAAGATCATGTTCAAATGAAATAGAAAAAAGATTATTGATACAGACTTGACTAATTCAGCAGTGAATAATATGTGAATGAAATGTATAAATAAATATAGAATTAAATATGACAAGAGGTGGAGGGAAATTTGAAAAGAGGGAAAGCCATGAGTTAATGAAAGAGAGGGTTGTAATGTGACAGGGCTTGTGTATTACTTTTGTTGAATAATAATGTGATCTGTCTTGTTATAGGTTCTTAGATGAAACAGAAACATAGATATGTAATAGTATCACTTGATTTTGCAAATGGCTGGCCAGTGCTTACTATTGTTTTGGGGTTGGTGTTTGGGATTCAGGAGAAAGATTAATTCCAGCTAGGATATTTTATTCTCTTGTAGAATTATAGTTGTTAAGTGAGTGGAGAAAGAAAGAAAGAAAGAAAGAAAGAAAGAAAGAAAGAAAGAAAGAAAGAAAGAAAGAACTGAGTGGACAAAGAAAGAAAGAAAGAAAGAAAGAACTGAGTGAACAAAGAAATAAAGAAAGAAAAAAAGAAAGAAAAAAGAAAGAATAAACTGAGTGGACAAAGAAAGAAAGAAAGAAAGAAAAAGAAAGAAAGAAAGAAAGAACAAACGAACTGAGTGGACAAAGAAAGAAAGAAAGAACTGGGGAGACAAAGAAAGAGAGAATTGAGTGGACAAAGAAAGAAAGAAAGAAAGAAAGCAAGAACTGAGAGGACAAAGAAAGAAAGTGCAAAGAAAGAAAGAAAAAAAGAAAATATGATTTGCTGTGGTGTTAGAAAGAGATAATATTTTAACTAATGATAAAAGCAAGAAAGAAATATGGTGAGTGACTGAAGTAGTGAGAGAAAGATGGAAAAAGAATAAAAGAAAATTAAACTAAAAAACAAACAAGCAAAGAATTGCTCAAAAAGACAGAGGAATTTACAAAAAAATGTCTGAATGATATGTACTTTATATCTTAAATTTAGATTTATCTCCTTACAGATATCTGTATGTATTCAAAATTAAGAAAATAATTTTAAAAAAAGGAAGAAATATGTCTTAATTATTCCTTTCTATTTATCTTAATCTCACTGTCTTTTATATATATATATATATATATATATATATATATATATATAAATAAAATATATATATATATATATAAATAAAATATATATATATATATATATGTATATAAATAAAAGAAAAAAATAACCATATTTTTAAATCAATTAATTTATAAATATATATATATATATATATATATATATATATATATATATATATATGAAAGTATAGTTGGCCACTCATATTCAAGGATACCTGTCTACTATGGCAGCTAGTCGATCCCTATTGCAGACGCTTACTCGGGCGCATTTGTGTTTATTCAACATCCACAGAGCCCACCTCTGGTTTATATTGCAACTATGCTGAGCAAACCTTAGTTATGGTTTCTGGGAAAGAGCATGTTATCTCGCGTGATCCACAATTTGAACAAGACCATCATGCTCAAGATCTCGGCCACGATGACTTGTGACTTCATTCTACCACAATATCGATGGCCCTCAAACATTTCATCTACCTAATTTCACTCATAAGGCTAGGGTCAACTCGTTTTGTTTCAGGCACTTTCCAAAGGTGCTGCATGCTGGAATTGACCCCTCCTGTCCAATAACATCAGGAAGTCTCCTCCCTGAAAAATTAACTATGGTGAGATTTGAGCCCCAGTCTCATGGTCAGAATGCAAACATTCTAACCACTTGACCCATACATACATACATACATACATACACATATATATATATATATATATATATATATTACGATAAACGTGCAATCAATTTACAAATACATGAATTATTCACACAAAACTAATGCAAAGGTTAATGCTTTAAATGGCGAGACATCCATCATCGCAAACAATTCAAATAGTATACAAAAACCTCCAGATCCGTTATATAAGTGCGACATTACTGTAATTATTGAACAATATAGTTCATGCCACTTTGACAGAAAAATTTACCAGTAAAAAAATTTGTTCAACACCATATTTGGTATAAACGCAAACACTTTAAAATTTAAAATCAAACTCAGCGTTGCTTTAGCGCTGTTCCAAAACCAATAACTCATTTTCAATAGTATTTTTCGGATACAACAACACATATTTTCGTTGTCCTCTTATTACTAAGAGAAAAAACCAAGAACAACATCTATTCTATACCTGAAGATGTCTGTAGGAACAGACGAAAGCTTGTAGTAAAAATAACAACTAATACGGCAGAAATTTATATAAACAAGGATCAATTCATTCATAACGGATCTGGAGGTTTTTGTATACTATTTGAATTGTTTGCGATGATGGATGTCTCGCCATTTAAAGCATTAACCTTGCATTAGTTTTTGTGTGAATAATTCATGTATATATATATATATATATATTAAAATTAATTGATTTAAAATATAGTTTTTCATACACAGTTCTAACTATGTTTCAAAAATCGAAGCTAAAAGCCCCGAATTTAATTTTTGTGATTAAATTAAAGACATTAGTTCCATTTCATCCTCCGACGAATTTTGGAGTAACTTTTTTAAAATTACTGGGTTTTAAATACACACCTAAAACAAAATTCATGTTTCCAAGGTTACAGATAAATCTATTTTTTTAGACAGGGGTGGCTGGGTTTTCAATATGTCTATAATTTAATGTATCAGTTATTGCTACGTTTGGGTCATGGGAAGGGATGTATTTTTCAATGAAATCTAACTTCCATTAAAAGCCTGCTGTCTAGATTTTTTTTTAAAATTATATTGTTAACAGCTAAAATTCTTCATTTTTTTTTTTTCTTTCATATATTTAAAGATTTTTTTTTTTTGGTTAGGTAAGAATACATTTTATTTAAGTACGATTTGAAATATTTTTACTTTTAATTTTTAATATACTATATTTCTTTCAAGAACAATTAAATGTAATTAGAATCCCTGTATATATATATATATATATATAGTTAGTTTATCCTGATCTAATGTAACTTCACCAGGCAATTAGATTTTTATATTCCCCAGTGGAAAAACTGTAAGATTATATAGAACTCAATGTGCAGAACCAGTTTACATTAGCTGAACATTAGTTCAATACTTGTTGGGTAGTAAATGTGCATTTGAGCTATTTAACATCTTAATGTATATATCAATGATAACAGTGAACTTGAAAATCATATTTTACTGAAAAATTGTTTAAATAGAAAGATTTTTCTAAAATTTCAATTGATATTAGTGATGCTTTTCAGCCAATGAATGCCAGATATTTCCTTATAAGGAAAGCGCTTATATTACCATCACTATATCTACCTTTCTTTTTATTTATCAACTATATTTAGACAGTGCAATAATCTATTTAAATAATTTTTATTAAATTCAACCAATCAGAATTGTGGATAAACTATCCAATGTTCCTGTTTTTTTTCTGTTTTTGTACTTTGAACCATTTCAGTCATTATGAAGAATCCAATGTATTCAGTATGGTAAATGATATTCTGTTGGCTATATGTTGCCATTTTTCTTTCTTTTTTTTTTTTTTTGAACACTACATTTCAAATTCAGATATACATGTATCATCTTAAATGAAATCATGTGAAATGGTTTCACAGAAATGCACTGGAAAAATAATGCATTAAATATTTTATATATATTATGGTAATTTACCCACACACACATGGACTCTCCCAGCTATAACTAGGAGCAGGTACTACCTTTTGGAAAGAAAAAGTTTCCAGCAGTCAGCCCTGATAGTTGAACTGAACATTCTTGCTGTAACACTCCCATTTGTATATGTTTGTATTACTGTTTCTTTTAATATATTTGTTTACCTCAATTCCTCTCTTGTGTCTTTATTTCTGGCCCTAACAAGGCCACAACAATATATTCAAACAGGTTTGGTTAAATAATTTAGATATATCATGTCGATTAGTTTTTCTTGTGATCCTTTCAAGTTCGTGGATTAATTTTTGATAGATTCTGTGAATTTAAAACATTTCAACTGTTCCTTTTTTTATATATATATATATATATATATATATATATATATATATATATATATATAAACATATTTTTAAACTATATATATAAAAACATTTTTTTAAACATTTATTTAAAACATTTCAACTGTTCATTTTTTACTATATATATACATATATATATATATAGTAAAAAAATGAACAGTTGAAATGTTTTAAATTCACAGATATAAATAATGACAAGCAAAATAATTTAACCCACATAAATAAATAAACAAATAAACGACTTCCAGTAAAATAAATGCTATAATAGACTACCCACAATGCACCACTGACCCGTAAATATAAATAACCAAAAAAAATAACAGCACTCGTGGCCTGACAATTGCGGCCAGCATGAAACAGACTGTCACCTCTAAGTGTTGACTTCTGTGTTCACTTTATATATATATATATATATACACACACACACACACACATTGTTAGATTGATTGTTTTTTTTATAGCTTACCAATTTTTAAAGCCATAATATATTTTAAAATTTTTGTGGTGGTGGGTAGATAATAACGGTTTATTGATATAAGTCCTACTAATTCCCAACTAATCTCATAGCTGGGGAGAAGAGGTGGATTTATACCTTTTCCAAGGGTATTTACATGTAAGTAACAAGTAAAGAATATAACAATCACAACTGAAATTAGAACTCTGTTCTCTGATTTCCAATTCCAGCACTCTTATCCATTACATCACCCATACACCCAAGCTTACTGCACCTGGTAATGTCAAGAGGTCACCCCTCTAAGTACTGACCAGGCTTGACATAGGTTAAGCTTTATCACCCTGTATATGACTTCATTTGTGGTACAAAAGTTTATCCTGCCACTGAAGTGAAGATGACTCTGATCCTTGAACAATGGCATGTTTGAATTTCATAGTTGTGTTGTCATCTCCTGCTACGGCAACAGAAAACAATTTTGAGTGAAATTAACAGTAAGGAAACTGCAAATGAGAGGCCTTGAAAAAGAATGCAATGGAAACGGAAGTAATATTAATAATGCAAACAGCTAAAAGATAACTTTGCTGATTGTATGAGAACTGTTGTCTAAACATGATATGGTCATAAGCCCACAGTGTTAGAATAAATATATATATATAAAGTAAATAAAATAAATGCTAACAACTGTGGATTCTTATTTTGTCAGTTCTTTCTCTTTATTTGTATATATATATATATATATATATATATATATATATATATATATATATATATATTGACAGAATGAGAGAGAAAGAGGGAGAGAAAAAAATGCATATCTATATATACAGTTTACTTTATATACAAATATATATGTGTGAGTAATTATATTGATTCACTCCATTAAATTATTTACTTCCATATACATATATATATATATATATATATATATATGTTCTCTTTCTCTACAAGCATATAGCCAAAACTAAATAAATATAGATTTCAGCTGCTGCTTTTACTTCCTTTCTTTGGATTCTTCATGTAATTCCTGCATCTATCACAATGCCATTTTCAGAATGGCAGTATTTCATTTCATTTGAAAATTTCTACTCATAGCACCAATCCCATAATTCCCATCTCATAGACCGGATGCAGCACATCTGGGCCTTGGATAAACCAGCTAGAATTTCTTCATAATCTGTGATGCTAATTATTGAAAGACATGGAAATTTGCATTCAGTAGGGTCAGGTTTAGGTGTCCTTAACTCTCCTTTAGGAAGGGTTGGGACTGAGTCCTGTAAGCTGATCATATGTGGCCCCTGCCGAGTGGGTCAATGTCATGGAGGGTGGGAAAGATCTTTGTTGGATGAAAAGAGAGAGAAAGAAAGTTTGTTAGAGAATAGGATTGACACTGAGACTAGAACTGGATAAGAATGAGATCATTTACAAGAAAACAAACAAAATTTGTTTAAAAAAGGTAAAAGAAATGATGGAATAACCCTTTTTGTATGATAATTAAGGAACGGATAAGATAGTCATATATTCACCCACCGTCAGTTGTGTTTTTTGAGCCAAGATAAAATATGAATAAAATAATGATAAATTGAATCACATCAAACAATTCCTCTTCATTTTCAAGATAGTTGAAACACAATTTTCCTTCTCCACTCTCATTTTCACACCATCTTAATCTTATACAAAATAACCTTATGGTTTTCTCTTTTTTTTTAATTAAACCTACTTAAGATTGGGTGAAATTTGCCACTCAAATTAGGTGAACTCTACCATTCAAGGTAGAGAGTTACAGTCAAAATGGTGATGATGAATGAGGTATATGGTATGAATGGAAGAGAAGGTGGTAGAAAGTGAAGATTGATGACAATAAGGGAGGTAGAAAATTATTGACTCTTGGCCTGAGATCAACAGAGTAGTTTTCAGGGAAGCAACCACACTGGAGTTTGTTCTACAAAGTGGCAGTACTTGTGTGGAGAAAAATGTCTCCAAGTAGAACTTTCTTCTGACATCTGGAACACAGAGGAATGATTTGACTCTGCGAAAGAAGCGTGGATTTTCCTAGCAGTAAAGGTCTGAACTGGTGGAACTAAAGAATGGCACTTATTTGAACATTTAGTATGAAAATAGTGATCAAGTAATGACAGGTTTGCAATGTTGCATCAGTGGGAAAGTGGTTCCAGGAAGCAGAATATGTCTTCTACTAAACATTTATTATAATCAAAAGGTTTATGAGTATCTATTCTATTCAAAATCCATGTGTCCACATTTCAATTAAACAAGGCTTGAAAATTATTTTATGCTTCCAATAACAATTTAACTAACTCAGAATAGGGAACATTCTGTATGGGAATAATTTTTATATGTTAGCATTCATTAGACCTTCCGCTACCCATGACATTTGTCAGAATAAAAAAAAATATTGATTTTTTTTAATAATTTTAGAAGTAGGGTCCTGTTCATAATATAAATATCAAATCTTTCCCTGACTTCTTAAAGAGTTATATATATAGCTGGCCACTTGTATTCGAAGATACCTGTCTGATAAGGCAGCTAGCCAATCCCTATTGCAGACGCTTGCTCATGCACATTTGTGTTTATTAAACACCCACAGAGCCCACCTGTGATTTATACTGCCACTATGCTGAGCAGACCCTAGTTACAGTTTCTGGGAAAGAGCGTGTTATCTAGCATGATCAACAATCTGAACAAGGCCAGCACAATCAAACACTCAGTCATGATGACTTGTGACTTTATCCTAGCACAGCTATCAAGGACTCCATCTATCCAATTTCACTCACAAGGCTTGGGTCAACCTGTGGTATAGTTTCCAGGCACTTTCCAAAGGTGCCACACGCTAGGATTGACCCTTCCAGTTGGATAACATCAGGAAGTCTCCTTTCTGACCATGGTGAGATTTGAACCTGGGGCTCATGTCAGAATGCAAATGTTCTAACTACTCGGCTATGTACTTATTAAAGAGTTATATGTACTTTGTTTTTATTTAGAAATGTAAAGTTTGTAACTGTGCTTAGACCATTGTACTGATGTACATTTTCCTAATTCATAATCGTACACAGTAATCAATAATGTTAGTCCAGTTTTAATCTTGGCATTTTAAAATAAAAACAAAGATGAAACTTTTCTGTATCAGTTACCTGAATGACACCCACCTACCTCCCATCAGTATGGCTGATGCTAACCTCCACAAGAGTGACTCATTGTGCTTTCTCTGGCTAACATTCTCAACAGACATGAAAGAGGAAGACTATATTGAATCCATTGCTGGGTCTGCTACAAAGAAACTTGGTTCACTGTGTCATGCTAGACATTTTTTCTCTCCTGAATCTGTTTTACATATTTATAAATCTGTTATTCATCCATGCTTTGAATATTTCTGCCATATATGGTCTAGTGCTCCTGCTATATATTTAGAGATTCTTGATAAAATCTAAAAAAAGAATCAACAATATTATTGGTCCTGACCTGTCATCTTGGCTTCAATCACTTTCTCCTTGCCATAATGTAGCTTTATTGTGCCTTTTCTATAAATACTTTCATGGTAATTGTTTGAATGAACTCTTTGCTATGGCACCTAAACTTTATGAATTTAAGCACAGTACTCGGTGGAGTAATGGATAGCGTCTTGGATTGAGGAATTGGTGAGCCGAGTTTGAATTCCAGTTAAATCCATTACATTCATTTACGTGCTAATACCCTTGGGAAAGGTATTATTCCTCTTCTTCTCCCACCAGCTATGGGTAAATAGCAGGACAGACTGAGTTCTATAACCTTGGATGGCAACTGGTCAACTACAGAAAGAAATGGCAACCTACTGTGGGAAAAAATCTACCTCGTCAGTCATGTATCAAAAGATACATAATCACCTAAGCATGATACACACTTAGGCGATCATGTATGGTATTTACTTATTTATTTATTACTAGACTGGTGGCAAGGCCTCATCAATTTATAGTTGAATTGGTTAGTTTAACCATAAGTCTTGTTCTAACAGTTTCTTTTCTCTCACTTCTTGCTTGTAGAACTCTCCTCTGGCTTCATGCTTTCCAACCATCTTTGTTCCCCAAAAATTTCAAATGCAATGTCAATTGTTATCTACTGTATTCTTGATTACTTTTCTATTGTTCTTGCTCCTTAATAATGTTTTTCCTTTTTTTTATTTTTTCACACCCAGTAACCCCTTGTGTCTTAGTGACTTTACTGCCTTGCATGGGGCAAGATAATCTTAAAAAATAAAATTGTACATATAATTTGTAAAGAAGTCAGGGATAGATTTGATATTGTATTTATATTATCAACAGGACCCCCATCTTCTAAAATGGTAATAAATCAATATTTTTTTTTATTCTGATAAATATCATAGGTTGCAGAACATCTAATGAATTCTAATTTTTTAAAAATGTTTAAAGAAAATTTTTCCTATTTTATAAAAGCAGGCCAATCACAAATAGTTAACTCCCAAACTGGGGTCAAAACATTATGAAGGTGTAAAAATAAGTTTTTAATACCAGCAATGCATTTTTGAGGGAAAATTATTACAAAAAAAATATTACCAGTAATACATTTTTGATGAAAAATTATTACATTATTATTAACAATACATTTTTGATGAAAAATTATTACATTATTATTAACAATAAATTTTTGAAGAAAAAATTATTACAAACAAAATATTACCAGCAATACATTTTGAAAAACAAAATTACTTAGAATACATATGTGAAAGAAATATTATCAGCAATGAAAATCCTGTTGGTATTAAATAACCCACTGAGTAAAACAAAATGAAACAAACCAAAAATCATCTTTTGTTGGCTATTTGAGGTTGATATGCCATAAAACATCAAATAACCATTTGACGTTGATATGCCATAAAACAAACCAAACGAAACCAAAGCAGACCAATCAATTTAAGAATTCCCCATGAAAATTTATAAAAGTTTGTTCTTTAGATTAAATTAATAAAATTAAATGAAAAAGAATTTGGTTCTTTTTAGAATGATGTTAATAATGATAACATTTTCCTTCTATTTTGCAGGTTACAATAATGAAAACTTGCCGTCAGGTTACATCATATGTGCTTGGTGCCAAAAACCAGGAGTTAAACTCTTCACATTAAAGACTCTAAATGGTTCCAAAGTATTCTGCAGTGAGGTCTGCTTCACCCAGTGTCGGCGTGCCTCCTTCAAGAAGAACAAAGTTTGTGATTGGTGCAAGCATGTTCGCCACACGGTCAACTATGTCGACTTCCAGGATGGGGAACAACAGCTTCAATTTTGCAGTGAGAAATGCCTCAACCAATACAAGATGAATATCTTCTGTCAAGAAACACAGGAACACCTGCAGCAGATCCAAGCCTCAATAGATAACAATTCATCCTCAAATGACATATCTGACAAACAGATTCTGATTACCCCAGATCTCTGGCTGCAAGAGGATATGGTCCGACGCCACAAGAAGCTCCGGACAATACAAGAAGACAAAAAGCACTCAGATACTAACAACAAAGATCACAATGACCAACCTAAAGATCTGTCTAACCATGTAGAAAGCCCCGAAACATCTGGTGTGTCCAGTATGGTTGAGAAGACCAATGAAAAAGTCATTGTTGATAAATCTCTTAAAGAGAGACTGGCAAAACGTTTGCACAAAGACCCAAATCACACAGCTAGTCCAAATGTGACTCCTTTACAAAAACGTCCCCATCCAGGTCATTCACACTTTATTCCCTCTATGTTCCCTAACCCAGCAATGAATAATTGGTGGCACCACGCCCAAATGTTGGCGTCTTTGGGACCTGGTTATCCTGCGTTTAGTGGTTTTCCACCTGTCATGTATCCAGGAATGTTCAATCCTCCCTTTAACCCCATGATGCCAGCTGCGCCCCCAATCCCAGAAAGTTCTAGACCCCAGAGTCGACATATCAATGCCACTTCTACACCAGGTCCCGTAGTGACCCCAAATGCTACTGCTTCTCCAGACATCTCCCAGAGACAATCTCAGAGCCCTGCCATAGCATCAAATGCCACAAATAAATCTTCAACAATTCCTAGAAATCATCAGTTCCCACCAATGTGGCCTCCAGTGTTTCCCATGATGCCTTTGCCACCACAAATGCCTCAGCAGGGAGAGCCCAACATTCACACTGGTTCTAATCCAACAGTGCCTACATTTCCGATACCAGCACCAAATTGGGCCTCGATGGGAATCCCTCCCCAGACAGTGATGATTCCATTTCCGTTCCTTTTTCCCTTGCCTTTCCCTGTACCAATTCCCATCCCAATCCCGATGAAAGCTGAACAAATTGAGAAACTCTTGAATCGAGTTTCTCGGATGTCAACTAGCAGTAGCAACAAAGAAGATGAAACATCTTCAGAGTGTGAAGACATCAAACCGCAGAATCTTCAGGAACATCTTAACCTCAGCATGAACCACCACAATTGTAACAATAACAGCAACAGCAGCCACAACAGTCTCGATACAACGTCCCTTACCCAACCTCGCATTGCAGCAACCACCACAAAAAACATTCCGAAGGAGTGTATCACATGTGCCTCGTGCATCACCCCAAGCAAAAGCACTGTGTTACCTCGTCCAAGCTCAGTCCTTTCAATGAAAAGCGACTCTCATGTTTCATTGACAGAGGTGAACAGCGTCAAACGACCACCAACTCCGGCCAGTGTCAGCTCCATAGAGTCAATAAAGAGAGTGCGCCATGAATCAATGGACTCAAACTATGATGAAGTGATAGACTTGTCCAAGGATAGCAGTCGTGAGAGCGCACACCGTGAGGTTAGCTCTCCACACGTCCATGCGTTATCCGAACATAAAACAGCAAATTCTGTCCGTTCTACATCAGTACCCCTGCCAAATGCCACAGGGGGCAGTGAAACAGACTTTTTACATGTCCCCAAAATTCACATTGTCTCCACACCCACAGACCCTCCCCTGTCACAGCACCTGCCCTTGCCACCAACTGATCATGCATACTCTCTGAGACGTGGACTAATTCTGGATGCTCCAAGTGTGCCGAAAAGGCCCAAGAGCCCTTCTCCAGAGCGAAGGAATTACATTCGTAGTATGCCTAGGGATATTATGGAAGCCCGACGGTGCCTACGGACAAGAATCAAGACGAAATGAGAGTGAATATCAGTGTTTTTTTTTTTTGTTTTTTTTTTGTCAGCCACTCTCAGCAATTGTGCAGCATTTCTCAAGACTGCTCTCTTTCTTTGGGGCCAAATTTTGGTCAGGACTAGTTCATTATCTAAAAGTTGCCCTCCATCTCTGTAAGTCATTCCTTCCACAGCCAATACAATAATAAAAAAAAAAAAATAATGGTTTCTACAGATAGAAAGCATATCAGCATCCTGGTTTACACTAAAGAAAATACAAAACAAAACTAATGTTATACCATTTTATCAGTGAATTATTCAAACTGTTATCCTCATTTTTGTTGTTTTGATTATTATCTTTCAGCTGGTGGACTTCTCAACCCTCCTCAGGTATTATCTTAATTTTTTTTTTATAATTTACTCAATAAATATTTGCCTATCAGTGTCAATTTATAACAAGGAAAAAGGGAAAAAAATTGACAAAGAATTTATCAGATGTGGCATGATCCTGAGGAAGGCTGTAGAGTTGATCAGCCAAAATGTAGTGATAGAAACAAGAAAGGTGAGGGTGCTTATATTAATCGACATTTTACCTCAGAACTTCAGACACCACAATGTTTTGCCAATTCTAAACTTTTGTACTGTTTCCAAGCCTAAACTAGCAGTTAACCATACTATGGAAGCTTTTTATGAGACTAGCCTACATGCATCCTGGAATTAAAAGAGGAAATCTATTTATATGTATGTGTATACATTTATGTACATTTGATTGAAGACCAATGACCATTATTTGTTTAAGATTTTTTTATTTATTTGCATTTCACTTCAGACCACCTTTCTGGTTTCCAGGGAGAATTGGAATATTAAATATCCCAGAAACCAGGAAATGGTTTGAATCAAAGAAGAGATAAATAAATAAAAAAATCTTAATGAAATTTCATTTGTCTTCAACCAACAAATGGGTATGACCTTGTTTCACATTCTATCACTGTGGGACATAGGTATATTTCCCTTTACTCTGCCTTTAGCTTAGGATCAAAGTGTATTATCTCTCCTTTCTTCCTCTTAAAATTATAAGGGATGTCTAGTCCTAGGGTTTCCAACTCTACAGCAGCACCTCCCTCAATGTACTACAGTGGGAGGGCTGGTAGATATTGATGCCAGCATGACAGTAGTTGCTGAGACTGAGCAATTATTACCCTTTGCCCCATATATATAAGTATGGAAACACACTTTAAAAATGATCTTTGGTCATATCCTACCACCATGGGAAGGCAAGTAAATATTGGATCAAAATGTAGTATCTGTTTTCCTTCTGTCATGTTTCTACATTTGGACAGTTTTTGATTTTGAAATGAGACTCCAATCCTATGACAACATCTCTCTCATTGTACGAGTGATAAGGTTGGTAGATACCAATGCCAGCATGACTTCTTGTGAGAAATGGTCAGTCTTTAGGCCTTGGCTCAGGTATAAATGATAAATTGTTGCCTAAATAACCCAATTTGAATCACACACACACACACACACACACACACACACACACACACACACATATATATATATATATATATATATATATATATATATAACAAATATTGTCTTACACAAAAATTAGTCAACCAATGCATTGAATGGATGATAATGCTTTTAAGTCATTGTAATTAAAGTGCTCAATGTTAAAAAATAAAACATAAACTGTAAACAAATAAGGTTAAATGTTTATATATATACATACATACATGCACAAACACACACATATATATATATATATATATATATATATATATATATTCACATACATATATATACATATATATTTAGGTATGTCTGATTAAATAAATTATACATATATACATATATATATATATATATATATATATATATATATATATATATATATTAACAAATAAATTTAAATACACACTTATCTGTTCTTACTCTGAGCTTTGTGGAAATTGCATTCACTTTTCAAGGGTTTCATAGTAGAACTGACTCTATTTACAGAAATTTCCCCCAAAATTATTTTTTCCTAAAAAAATATTTAAAGTTTGTCCTTTCTTAAAGGCGTTATTGTCTGATATACATTAATTTGAAATTGTTTGATTATATTTATTTTCTTATGATCAAATTATTTCTGTTTTGGATAGGAATATCTCTTAAACTTCTTAAGTAAATTGTTAATCTAGTGAAGGATTCTATTTACAGCTTATTAGAGATTAGATATATTTGACTTATTTGACTTTAAGTAGATATTAGATGTATGTGATTTATTTGACTTTAAATAAAGATTAGACATATTTGACTTGAGATATTAGACATATTTGACTTATTTAACTTTAAATAGAGATTAGACATATTTGACTTATTTGACTTTAAATAGATATTAGACGTATGTGACTTATTTGACTTTAAATAAAGATTAGACATATTTGACTTGAGATATTAGATATATTTGACTTTAAATAGATATTAGATGTATGTGATTTATTTGACTTTAAATAAAGATTAGACATATTTGACTTATTTGACTTTAAATAGAGATTAGATGTATGTGATTTATTTGACTTTAAATAAATATTAGATGTATTTGACTTACTTGACTTTAAATAGATATTTAGATGTATTTATCTTTAAATAAATATTGGATGTTATTGGACTTATTTGACTTTAAATATACTTAACTATTGTAAATATTTGTTAATGATTTTCATGGTATTAACATAAGCTTTTTTTAATCATTTCACCCCAGTCAAGGGAATAAACCACTAAGACATTACTATTGAAAGAATCTGAGAGAAAACATTATTAAAGAGAACAAATAATAAAAGAACAGGATACAGACAATGATGATTAGCATTTCATTTAAAGTTTTGAAAATCAAAGTTGACTGGAAAGTAAAAAATGGTAGTGAGTTCTAAAAGAGAGAAGTGCAACAAGAAATTATTGTTATATCTAGAAATTTCAACTGTAAAATGATGAGACCTGGCTGCCAATCTAGTACTGTATTTAAGTTCATAAATTTAATGTACAAAAGAGAAAAGCTTATCAGAACAATTACCATGAAAATATTCATAGAAAAGGCACAGGAAAGCTACATTATAGTGGTGAGAAAGTGACTGAAGCCAAAATGCCAGGTCAGAACTGATGACATTGCAGATTCACCAGACCAGATGTGACAGTAATATTCAATTCATAGATGAATGATATACTTATAAACGTAGCCTGGAAAATTCTCTAGGACAACACAGTGAGCCAATTTTTCACTTTAAACATTAACCTAAGAAGGCACAATGAGTCAGTCTTTTGGAGTTTAACATCAGACATGATGATGAAAGGTAAAAACGTTTTTCTAAGATGATTAAAATGGAGTAGTCTCATTTTGAATATATTAAAATTAACAAGCCATTTCTTGCCCCAGTTAACAACAGATTGATTGTAGGTCATTTTTTTTATATCAGCTTAATATTCAAGGCACAGATAAGTGAACATTTAATTTTATTTGTACTATTGAAACTCTATTTCTTGATCTTCTATGTACCATGTACTTTCAGAACATGGGTGATCATTGCTCTCCACAACTTCCTGTCCTTTGTAGCTCTTAGTAAGCGTTGTCATTTTGCTATCTCACCTAATCTCTGTTCTGCCACCCATTTACACCAGCTTGTTATTTCTTGATCTTCTATGTATCGTGTCCTTTCAGGACATGGCTGATCATTGCTCTCCACAACTTCCTGTCCTGTTATTCACTGCTTTTCGTTGGTCTCTTTTGCCTTCAGTATGTCTTGTGAATGTTAAATTCTCCAAGCACTCTTTCCTTATTATGAGCACAAGAAATTTCAGTTGTCTCTTTTTTATTTCAAGTGTTGTTTTTATCTCTTGATATTAAGCACTATAGTTACAAAGTCTGCGTGCCTTCGAGAAATAACCTGATTCAGTGTTATTTTTTAGGGGGAGGAGTGAATAATTATAATAATAATTTTATATTTTTTATTCCTATTATATTGATTTTTATTATTATTATTAGATGAAACATTGTCAGTTATTATTGATACTTAGCTAACTTCTTCTTAATTTCAGTTGCTTCCCTTTGTAATTTCTCAGGCTTTCATTCTATGGCCTTAAATAATATAACAATTTTATACCTCTCATTATTACAATATTGCTACTACATAAAAATGATTTTAGACATATAATTATAACATTCCTTTTATATTGTATAATTCTAGTTTTATGTTTCTTATTTGTAAAATAATATGATTAGTACAAATTATCACAAAGATTTGGCTCTGTTCTTTAATTTTTCTCATGCCCATAATACATTCAGTAGGCTTTTGAAATTTCTTGACACTTGTTCTTTCTTAACCATTCACCAGAAGTTAACTCTTTTACAGAAGAGTTTCAAAGTCTCATTCTTGCAAGAGACTTTTCAGACAAGTCTGTATAATATATCTGTTTATATTAGAGAATTATATTTTTATTGACCTCTGATGTGATGATGATGATGGATAGAAGCTTTAATGGACAAAAACAACATGCTTCAATATCAGCATATTTCCATAATGTTAAAATCCATACTTGGTTGGCTGATCCTTTTTTTTAATTTTTTTTTTTGGGGGGGGGGATTAATATTTGCTGCTTCTTTCACTTTACAGACACTATCTAGTGTGACTCTTTGTCTGTTGTTCTGATATCATTTCAAATTTTTTAGGCAGAATATATATTTAAGAAAATTTGAAGAACATATCACCTAAGAGCCAGTGCTCCTTTACCTTGCCTTCAGGCTTGGATTAAAGTGTAGTATCTGCCTTTGGGCAGACAAAGTACATATTATCTCTCAGTTGTGTCTTTGTCTTCGGACAGAGTGTGACTCAATTGTGTCTCTGTCTTCAGACAGTCTGACTCAGTTGTGTCTCTGTCTTCGGACAGAGTGTGACTCAATTGTTTCTCTGTCTGTGGGCAGAGCACAACTGAAAAAATATTGAGAGGTTTCCGTTTCTGTGGAAGAGCTGACTGTGACCGGTCAAT